TAGTGGAAATTTCCAGGGGCCACTGGAAATTTCCACTACATGCATCCGAAGAAGTGGGTATTCACCCATGAAAGCTCATGCTCCTATATGTCTGTTAGTCTATAAGGTGCCACAGGACTCTTTGCTAAGTTACCTCAGGGACTGAAAAAGAAACAGCCTGACTCCAGATTGACTGTTTTGTGAGGGTTCAACCTGCTACTTGACAACCAATGTTTACTGGGTGTAGCTCATCTACCTGATTGACTACTGAGATGAAGCTGCCAACCAGAGAAATGGCTTCAAGTTACAGCCTCTTTTCAAATTATTTCCTGGTAGACTCAGTCAGCCAGCACTGAACCCCTTGGTTGTACAGTAATATATGTGCAAAAGTTGTTCTTTTTTTAAATATGGTGTGTACACAGAACTAATCACCCATTTCCCTCTCGCCATCCCCCATCTTTTAAAACTTATTTCATTAGGCCATGCGCAGACTTGCTTCATGAAGGAAAACTATTACGAATATCTTGGACTCCATGGCAATATTCAGGCACCAATACTATATAAGCGTTTTCTGCACTGGGACTTGTCTTTGCACTTGAAGAAAACACTAATTTCTTTGTCTGAACTCCATCGATCTCTATAAATCTCCAAATTTTGTCTATTGACATGTAATCCTTGAAACAATCAAGTTTGATCAGAAAAATGTGTTCATAGAATCAGCGTTGGCAAGATATGGGAGGCAGATCATCAGAACTATTACAGAAATTGCAGCTAGTTTTAGGGTTTGTCAGTCTGTGTCTATAACCCACTGGTATATCAATGCATATAGGAAAAAATAGCTTCTTTATGGTAACTCGGCCCCAGGGGTTGAGGAGATTGTAAGCTCTTCTTGGGGGCAGGAACTGTCTCTTATGTATTTGTATTGTGCCTAGCACAATGGAGCTCCAACCCTGATGGGAGGCCTCAAGGTGCTACTGTAATACAAATAATAAATTCCTCACAAAAGAGAAGCAATAGGTAGTAGCAGCCCTAGGCCCTGACCTGCAAAAGGATCTGTAATCCCATGCAATTAGTTTCCCAAGACGTTAACACGGCTGCATTCAACAACACACGTCTTTAAAATTTATCTATTAGTCATTCAAAATAATTTCTGGGTTTGTTGCAGTATTACAGTCTCAATATAAAAAATCCCTTATATAACAGAAATGGAGTACAGGTAAAATGTATTCACTCAAAACTGTTTACTATATTGCTATAAAATGTTAACCATATATATGGATAAGGCTCAATAAGAGGGACTATTACTTAAGAGTCTTGATTCTTTAGTGCTATTTTTAGTAACTCATGCACTCCTGGTTAATAATCATTACTGAAATTAAACCTATATAGATTGAACAGTACCTTACTCTACAAATAGTCCCATTGAAGTTAATGGAATTTGTGGACTAGGCTGCTATAAAACTGGAGTAAAGATCTGACTTAATATCTAGTTTGGTTTTTGAAATGGGATTATACAGTATCATTGGTTTAATGAAGAATTATCTGCATAAACTGTTTCATTCTTTTAATACTCTACAAACTGTTTCTATTCTTTTGAAAGTACACATTTTTTAGAAGTTATGCTACAATCCCCTAGTGCAATAATTTACACAAATTAAAGGATTACAAGAAAACCTTTTTAACTTCTGTTTTTAAGGCTTTATATTGGCTATGTAAGAAATGATTGTTCCCATGTAATGATTATATGTTTAGATGAAAAATTACACAAATTGTTCATTAAAAATTAAATTAAATTGTAAATAAATTAGTTTTAAAACTGAAATTCCTTGTGGCAACTACCAATATACAATGTTGAAAAAACATGCCATAAAAACCATACGTAGTCCTTACAATACATAGGTTTCTAGATTAGATCACATTTATGTTCTAAACTTCGTGATCATTTTGGTATCTTCACATATTAAAATTACAGTGAAATAAAATTTGTAATTAAAGTATCACACAAAATTTCGACCAACCACACAGACATTGCACACAGAAAATTACCACCATCACAACTGGCATTAATTGGCAGTCTCAGCTGGGAAGCCAAGCACTAAGTAGCACAGATTATATCTCTAAGAACCTTGCTGAACCTCCATTAAAGTCAGTTGATAGACCCCCAGTGACTTCACCGAGAGTTGGATTGGGCCTTTACCCAGAGATAGTCCTTTTTCTGGCAGAGCTGAAACACTGGCATAACAGTGTGATGCTGTTGGATAAACAAGGGGTTTTCAGGACAGTCAAATAGGCTACTACTACTACTACTTTCAAAAGCACAAAGGGCTCAATCCTGCATGGTGTTGAGCGTTCTCATCCAATCCAGGAAAACACAAGCACATACTTAAATTTAAGCATGAGTAGAGTCAATGGGACTATTCAAGTGCTTAGTGCTTCATTGGGTCAGGTTAGAGTGCTCGGCACCTTGCAGGACTGACCTCCACATTCACAAACTTGCTCAGAGCTTGACTCTGCTATTCTTATGTATGTTGATGTGAAAATGGTGGCAGAATTGAGTTTCAAATAAACTGCCACTGATGTCAATGGAAGTGCTGTGTGTAGAACAATGAAGGATCAAGCCAATTTCCCTCAGAAACATTACTTCTCATCAACTGTTGTCCATTTTATATACCTTTATATAAAAGAAACTGTAAACACTTACAAAATACATACTCTTTTGATTAACTTGAAAATTGTTAAAAGCCATTTGGGCTTTTATTTTTCTGAGGAACATGTAGTAAGGAATATCACGAAATAATAGAGTGGTACTGGTAGAACATACTTGTCTTGCTAGAGATCGGCCTTCACTCTGAAGTTTGAATCCTGATCCCAACTTTCCTCAAATGTAAGTCGCTTTGGATCCAGTATTTTGGTTTGGCTCTGTCTCGCATTTTTGCTGCCTGAGCATTTAAGAAGAGTAATAATAAAATACAAGGATATTTAAAAATACATTTTCCTTTTAAAATGATTTTTTTTTAACCAGGATGAATTAATACAGAATGGGGGTATAGGACAATTATTCACACTCATGGGCTGCATATACACTTATTATGTGAGTCATGTTTGTATTTGAGTTTACTGGTACAGTATATTTACAGTTATCCAGAGAAGAATGTTCTCATGGGTTTCCATTACATTCTTAATTTACTACACCCATCCAAGCTCTAAGAACAACAATAGACATCATGAAGAAAATTTCAAATACCTCTGTTCAATGGGGATGGGGTGGGATGCAAGGGAAGACATCCTTATTTTTATATGAAGGATACCAAAGTAATGTATTTTACAATATAATTAAAACCCTGCAGAACTTTGCACTCATGCATAAACCCCTCAGAAGCACCGCTGGATATACTTGTTTTTCAAGCATAATACAGGAATGGCATTTTTCTAAGCATTTTGTGACTATTAATACTGCTAGATCTCTGTATGTTTAAAGGTTTACCTTGAAAGAGAGAGAGATTTTATTAATCTTTTTACCGTCTGGAAAAGGTGCTGTGTTTTAGAGGAATGTTGTCAGTGACCTAAGGAATAAACATTGTGCATACTGGAAACCCCCCCCGCCCCCATATTTTATCTCTTTAATGTTCTCAGAAATGTTATCACTTTCATACCAGCTTCCCTCATTGTAGGGTCTTCAATGGAGATCGAATTGGGCAATAGTGACTGGAAAGACTCCCACTGAATTGAATTTAGTGGGAATTGTTACTATTTTGACCTTAGTTGAATTTACAATACACTTACATGAGAAGCTAACAGTTTCTCCTACTGTTAGTTTGCCCCCTAGATAGATCAAAACACAGGCCGCTCGTGAGCAGATGACTGGAAACAGCATCAGCCATGAGCCCCTTAAAAGCTGCAGAACAGCTGCTGTGGATTCTTGGCTCTGCAGTTGTGGCCACTAAATTTCTCAACGATCTTGTGCAGGAAATGTCTCCACACACTGAAACTCCTCCAAGGCCTGGCTGCAGGCAAGATTCCTATCATGGGCAGTGGGTATCAAAGGTCAGGGGAGGCTGAGCCTCCCCAAACAGCATAGCCCCACCCACCCCCAGACCTCCTCCTGCTTCCTGCCAGCCCCTGCGGCTCTTTCCCCGTGGCTGGGACTAGTAGAGGGCTGGCCTGCAGCTAGGGACTCCAGGCGTCTGAAGCCGGTGCTTGCACCGCCTGTCCACCCGGCACTGGGGGCTGTGCCACCCGCCTGGAACTGGGAGTGCTTGGGGAGCTGTGGGGGGAGGGGGCCCTCTGAGCTCTGGCGGGGAAAGGGGGGGCAGGGTCTCAGGCAGAAGGACCAGGCCAGGGGCTAGCCTCCCTGAGCCCGCAGTTCACCTGCCGCCCATGGTTCCCATGGCTCTTGAGAGAGAAATAAG